ATATATATATATATATATATATGTAAACAAGCCTTATATATTACATACATGTCTTATATAAAAAAAGCCCATCGAATATCTCTTTCAGAGTAGAAAAAAATACATTTCACGCGGAATTTTCAATATTTTTTTCTTAACTCAATTCAACGTTTGATTTCAGTTCCCTGCGTTTCAAAGGAAAAAGAAAAAAAGAATAATACAATACAGTTACGACGTTACGTGTAAATTTTACCCAGTTACAACAACCAACAATTTTATTTCCAAATAAATTTGTCCCCGCTTTTCAATCATTGTGTCCTGTTAATTATTTGCATTCGCGCCAGTGCAAACCGAATTTAATCACTTCTACTGATCCATAATGGAACGTGCAAATAAATTAATAACATATTGCAATACGCGTGTACGACTGCCGATCCCTTTTAGCGAGAGCAACAATACGACTTCGTATCGTGATACGCGAAAATCTCGCGACTCGAGTAATCGCGAGTGATCGCGCAAGTAAGGCGAACCGGGTGAAACGAAATCCGACAAACGTGTTTACAAAAGATCGCGGTCCGTCTCATTAAAATGGATTATAGAGTGTTCCGCCGAGCAACAAGTACTCCCACATAAATGCCCCACCGTGAAAAAGCTCATACCCGGAGCACTTGTTTGTGAAAATTCGTGTCAAGAAGCAAGGAGACGATAACTGAGCAGAAGCCGACTTCAACATATCTCACGATAGCATCGGCAGGATCAACCTTTATATTCTAGTGTCTTCGCGACGAGAGCGTACGTACGTCGTACAATGAAATTCTTCTGGTTACCTTTCCCCGTTATTCCGTGAATAAGAAAGTGTTTACGAATACCACGAACGATCCGCGGACACTTATACAGAATTTTTCTGTCTTATGGATAGCGATGAAGCTGCGAAAGCCATTAGCCATGTAAATCTCTCCCCACTTATGTGAATATTGCAACAAATGCATCGCTTTGAAAAAGAAAAAAACGTACAGGAAGAGTGTAAAAATATTTGAAAGAGCGCATTGAACTTGGAAAGTACAAACAATTTGGACAAATGTGGCGCCCGAGTTAAATAAATTTATTTCCACACGCTTAAGTCTCTTAAGTTGACTTTGCATGAATTACAATTTTTCTAATTCTGATAATACGGTATTTAAGAATGTAAAAACTCGAACAGTTTCAAGCAATTTTCCATCCTCTCTATTCCCTCTGTTATTAAATGGATTATGTAAAGTGACATCCTTCAACCTTCGTTCGTAACAGCGCGGTAGTTCGACAATCTCCAATCGCAGAAAAAGCCAATAAGAAGGTTTGCTTGCTCGGTCGTGTCCCACTTTTTACAAGAAATTATCGACACCTCGTTGTTACTTAACAGCGATCGATTAATGGCAAATATTGTGACGCTTTAAATTAACTTTCGAGCATCGTAATCTCTCCACAATATAAACAATTATTTATTATCAAAAGAGAAGCAAGGAGTACTTTGCCGCGGAAACGTGACGTTACGCTTTGATGCAAGAATTTTACGCATTTAACGAAGTAAAAAATATCGTGCATGCTTGTTAGAAAAAAAAAAAATAAAATAAAATAAAATAGAACTCCATCCGTCAGACGTTTCAGTTTCAACAAATTCGAGCCTGAAAATTCATCAAACAAACGTGCACTCGACCGTATTTTTCGGTTTGAACGCACCCCCTCTTCAACACTCATTATTTCCATCCGCGTTTCTATACGAGTTTTGGAGATTTTCTACGATTTTCATATTTCTCTCCGTCTCAGCTTTCAAGTTTGTTTCCAACGAGACAGAGAATTATTTCCTGATTTTCACTGACTGAACACGCGAAAAGAAATACTTCAGTGAAATATCAAGAAGGTTACTAACTGATAAAATTGCAAGATAAAACTGTCCACGACTTGACTTATCAGATTCATCTTTCTGTATATACATGTGGATATTTGTACAGATGCAGCAAAGAAGAATGAAGTTTTTAGAGAGAGTTAATGTAGAAAAGTAAGAAACAGACAGTTTTGAGATGTGTGTTCAGCCGACAATTGACCAATTATAAAGTGAGACCTCTGGGACCACAGTCAATTAGGTCAATGAGGGGAATCAAAGTAAAACGCCATAACGCACAGAACAATGGGAATCGGTGTTTCCCTTTATCTTTTCGATGGATCCAAATTGGAACCTTTACTTGTCAGAACTATAGGAATTTCAACTTAAATATATCAAAATACATGTCAAGATTTTACTACATACAATGAAAATACTACATACAATATTTTACGTTTAAACATTATAAATGCTGTATTTCATAAGAAAAAAGTAGGAAATCTAAAGCAAATTTATCTCACGTATTTCTTTGTTCTTAGATAAATCAATTAATATCTACATAATTTTCCAGTCATCTTTGCATTGAATTAGTTATTTCCTGTGTATTGCCAGTGTCACACTCTTAATTCATTAGATGAATAAAGGTATTAAATAAGAGAAAGACATATTGTATTGAACTTTAGAATTTTCCTTTTACAAAATTTGTCTTCCTCCTCGCATGTAGTACATTTTTTTCATTTTGATCTTTATAACAGAAATCGATTAGTTTTTGTGTTAAAGCAGTTTCAATTGAGCAAACAATCGTTAAAGGATAAGAAATATGAATAAAAGAATGAGGATACGAAATGTTGGCGTACGAAAAACAAATATCAAGAATAGCTGATTAACGAGTTCGTGGAGAACGATCTGGAATATAGTGGATCTGTCAACTAAAACCATTGATTCAACCGCGGCGAAGAAAAAACTAGGCTTTTCCCTATGCGACTTGTCACGAGAATTGAAGTTTAAGTGGCGGTAATTAAAACGCCAATCAAAAGTTGATGAGCGAGTTCATGAAGCGACCTTCTTGAATTTTTCAAATTTTCGCTCATTCTGTTGCGTACAACGGTTGACTCAGCGAACCGTGAAAATGCACGGACAAAAGGTAATCGAAAAGAAAGAGGGAAGGAAAAAAAGAAAAGACGCCGACGATTGCTTTACAGTGACCCATTAAAAGGTCTAATCAAAAGTTTGTTTAACTCTGAATATATATAATACGTCGATCGCTATTGAAGCTCAAAGCATTCACGAGCGGCTTTCTTTACCTCTTTCATATCGACGAATGTGACGAATATTTCTTCCAGAAGCCTGTCTTTCCGATTAAATCCAATTACGTAACTAAACCCTGCTATAAATTTTCAATATTTATAATGCATAATTTTAGCTGAGACTTAATGGATTAAAAAAGAATTGGCAGAACATGGAAATCGAATGACAATGCAAACTGATGAGTATTATATTACGAGAGAGATTGTACGGAAGAGATCACTCTTAACGCGAAGAATATGATGACATCAACCAAGATAAGCGAAAGTAATATGTCATAATGAAATGTACTATAAGATACAAAAAAAAGAAAGAGGAGATATTTCTCAAGTAGTATGGTCATAATTAACACATTTTCAAAGATGATATCTACAAAAACCGAAACTTTTATAGATGACGTTATACAATGTTGAAAGACATCTACGATTCCTTAATAACTGAAAACGCGAATGCCTTATCACTTTATCGTTCTGTTAAAAAGTAAAAAGGAAACTTTCATCTTCCTATTAATATATATAAAATTTATCTTTTAATTTAAAATCTTGTAAAATATTATCACTTAGATC